TAGCATGGTATAAAGTAATATACTAGAAGGAATTTGAAAACAATAATCCTCAGTCCTGTAAGTTTTTATTTCACTACTACTGGACAAACGTTTTCCGTGGTTCACTGAATTTTTCTGTCTATTCCAAAAGTCTAGGGCACTCAGAAACACACCCTGACATTTTGGAACATCAGGAGCAGCAAAGTATTTCAAGCATGAATGACATCATAAGAATTCCCTTCATTGGCAAAAAAGTTTTGAAATACAGTATCATACATGGGAGGAAGTGTTCACTGAGGAAATAAAAGATGAATATGACATTTAGAATGCAATAGTAGAACTGAAGCTAAATTTTTACTTCTGATGTTTCCTCGCCATTCTCACATTTTTTCCCACAGAACTTTGTATGTACATAAACAAAACTCCAAAGATTTCATGATCTTCATAAAAATGGAACAATGCCTTCTCACCAAAATCTACAAACAGCTTTTCAGCAGATTTAATACATACACACATACCTACACAGAGAGTTACATCTGCAGTTTATCTTTTCCATAAAAACTTCTTCCCCCTTCTGTGCAAATAAGTTGAACAAACTAAAAAAACTAAAAGGGCAAAGTCAAAAGAGAGGACTGCTCTATTTTAATGCATGGTCAACTACAAATATTTATAGAAAAGATGAAAACACTACTGTGTGCACATCAGGGTTGCCCTAGGACAGCTTTAACATGCATAGTTAATGTTTATGGAACACAAGCAACTTACTGATCATGAAAACTTCATTTTCCTCATGTGCACTCAAAGTAAAGGTAAACTCACAAAAAAACCCCAAAACCCAAACCAAAACACAAAGGGAAAACAAGTCTTGCTAAAATCCTGAAGCAACAATGCAAAAGCACTTAATGTCACTCAAAGGCAGAAAAGCTGAAGAGAAGAAGTGGCATTTTCTGAGTTTCTGATGATAGCTCTTGCTGCACACCGCTGGAATAGCAGCCCAACCTGGAAAATCCAATTCCAGCCCCCATGAACTGCAGTTTCTGTGGAGCTCCAGAGCTGCATGCGTGGGTTTGCAGCAGCAGCCCTGATGTGCAGGGACACAGGTCACATACTGTGGCTTTGAAACCCCATCCCTGAAACTTCTGGGGACACCAGTCCCTAAGGTTCTTTGCCACACCGCTGGAACCTTTTCTTTAGCAATGGAAATACTTCCCAGCCCTGGACCCTCCTGTCAGGGCCACACTGCAGCCAGTTCCCAGGTATAATCACTGTCAGTGTCAAGCCCCAGCACCAGGGCACTCACCAGGGCACTCTTCAGCATCATTTCTGCCTACAGCAGCTGGCATTAGCCCAAATACCTTAGTTATATAAATAAGGAGCACCCAGTGAGATCTAAGAGTACCAGTCCCTATTTAGCACCAGAGCTTAGGCTAGTTTTCCATCTCAGCTTGTCTCAGCTGTCTGCTGCATAAAAAGAGTCTGAAATGTACTAAAAAACCCTGGAAGACTAATAATTCATTAAGATGACAAATGAAAAGTAAGTCCTATCGATCAAGAGTAGAACTACTTGGTTATAAAGGAAGCATATATTATTCTGACAGTATTTTCACAAGATAAGCTGAAGTTACAAAGAAGACAACCAATTTGATTCAAATAACTGTCTCTCCTCAGAAACATTCATGATTGCAGTCATCAGGCACAGGTTGGTAGGGTAGTATTACTACTCCCATTTTGAAAAATTTGGATAACTGCATAATATCCAGGAAACAGGACTGTATCACTATCACAGGCTCTATAACAGCTGATCCTATCGAAAATGCTCAGCAAAGGTCTGACTCCTGCACCACTGAATCCCAGCACTACTAAATCCCAGTGTGGAAGGATGTGCAATCACACACACACACAGAAGATTATCTCTCCTCCATCATCAGCACTGAAAAGCTCAGGGTTATTGCACAGCTAACGAGAACAAACACATTTGCAGCTGGCCTTCCACCACCTGTAGAAGAAGAAAGTTAGCCAAAAGCCTACGAGACTCTCCAGTTGTGATGAATGGATGGAAACCAAAGTGTGGCTCAGATTCAAGCCCTAGACCAGTTACAGCACTGCAGTACTGTGCCAACAGACCCACTTAGGAGAGGAGGGCCCAGAGTGAGAGGCAGCCTCTAGTATTCTGTGAGGGTAAAATATTTTAGGGCAGGCATCAATTTACCTTGGTTAGTTATGTTCTTAGTTATGCTGTATTTTTGTGCCCAGAGGCCTAATTTATAATTGCAATAATAAAATGTATTGTGAAGTATAAGCCAAGCACATGCAGGTTCTAATTCTATTTCCTCTCAAAGGAAAGAGCTAAGCTGTTAAGCTCCAGGTTCTTTCAACATTTCCTATTTGTGACAAACACAAAAATCTGAAATCAGAGATGTACCACTGCAAGGCTTTTACAAAGTTCGGGTAAAGCAAGATAAACCTCTGCTTTTTTTTTTTTTTTTTAATTCTAAAATGATATTTCTAGTTCCTCAGCGTCAGAGCTGTCACAATGCCTCATTCTGCAGGTAAACTGAATTTAGAGTTACCAATCCAGTTCAGACATTTTCCCCACAAAAGAAAAGTTACCATCCCAAAGCTTCCAGGGTAGCAATTCTACCTACATTCTTATAGAGAGAACTTATGGGTCATCTGAGGGACCTCCCGGGGCCCTAAGGATGGGGACAACCTGAATTCTCTTAGGAGAATGGCCCTTACTCTGGCTTGGTTGTAGCACTCAATGAACAGCCCAGCTGTTAATGTTATATTAATTTTGCCCTTGATTGTACGTGAGAACTGGAGGAGAATTTTCCATTATCTCCTTCCCTCTTGACTGGAGCAGCCTGTGCCAGGCCCCAGCAGGTGGCTGGTCCCAGCCCTCCAGGTCCCTCTTGCTGGGACACTTTTAAAACAGCAGGAAAACAATTTGTGTGTCTGTGAGAACAATGTAATGTTAACAGAAAACTATCTTTAATTATTCAGATTGTCTGTTATTAAAAAATATGATGTCGAAGAGCAAGACTTGCAACTTACCATTAATCTACTGTTTTTTACAGTATATAGTATTTATGCTATAAACAGAAGTTTTAATAGTTAAAAAAGAAAAATAAAATTACTGCAGTCATTTTCACTCTAGTTCCCACTGATAAATGTTGATATGGACAACACATTAATATTGCTCAGCTTATTTAAGCTGAATAAATGATGAGGAAGAGTTAATAAGAATACAACTACCAAACTTAATAATGGTCCTCAATCTTATGAAATTGTTCTTTGCCCACATGAGTAGTCAGTCTCACTAATGTCAGTGGCCCAAATTTTGCAGTCCTTAATCACATACTGTTACCTTCAGTACTGTTGTTCTCAATTTAGGATCAAAGCCCATAGTTTGCTGGGGCCATGCTTTCAAGGGAGGATTGGGCCCAGACTTTTAATAAGGGGCTTGGTGGCTTACAAAGAGGTGATTAAGATCTTCCTTTGAAAAAAACAGAAAAAGTAGAGTTCTTCTTTTGGATTATAACAGCACAGATAGCCGTAGCTTGCGGATTTCAGAGTATTAACTACTAATCCACAAGTGAACTGAAAGGTTTTTGTTTGTTTGTTTTGCTATTACAGTATTTAAACTTGTCAACCTTCAGTTCTCAGTAAGTCATACTTAAGTTTCTTAGCAAAATATTTTATCACATCTCTGTGAGTGTGCCTAAGAGTTTGAGAGATCTTCTGGTTATAGGCAAAATCCAGGGTAGTTTTCTTTGTTTGATTTGGTTTTACTTAACAAATATCTTGTACTTATTTCTGAGAACTCAAACCATGAAGTTTTGGAAACTAAGCCACAATATAAAAATTTCTATTTTCCTTAAGTGACATTCAAGTATTGTTGTTTGTCAGCAACAAACAGAAAGTACTTAGTATAATTATTATAGCACCTCAGTAAAAATCAGACTCTAGCCGTAGGTGATTGCAGCTATAAAGTTTCCAGAATAGGAACAATGAGCCCTATGAAACTAATGAAAAAAATCGCCAACTTCCTCACTCCAAAGTCTGATTTTTACAAGGACTCCATTTCTTCCTGGTTGCCAAAATGAACAGTTTATTTGGATTGAGCTTAGGTCTCTAGGAAAACGATTTTAATGTAAAATTGAATAATGTTGCACCAATGACAGGATAATAAAGTGGTTTCAAAACTGAGCAATATTTAGGTCGTGTACCCCTCTGATGAAAATGCAGAAATCATATTCTGAAGACAGCATAACTAAGATGATAAATATCCAGGTATACCATTTGCTGTACCACTGTACTGTAATCAAATCAATTAGAAATCTAATGACTACTTTGACACAAACAGGTATTTAATATGCTGAAAATGTACCAGATTTCCCCCCTCAAGTATTAGTAAAATCCCCAAGAAAATTAAAATCCAGGTCATAGCTAAATTCCTTTGAAACTGGGATTTAAATTAAAAAAAAAAAAAAAAAAAGAAAAGTTTAGTCACTGTAAGAATTCTTTGTGCTGTTACATTTTTATAAGGTTAAAGCTAAAAATAAGATCAAAATCTTTTTAGAGGCTACATTAAAAAATAGACCAGGTGTGTTCAGAAACCCATCACACATCTGCCTGTTAAACAGATGCCAACCAATAAATTAATTAAAGCTACTCTCCTCTCAAAATAGAAAAGAGGAAAGAGCTGTTAGGGACATTTATGGGGTGATGTTTGCATGACTGACAAGTTTTTCATGCTTGGCCTCTATTGTACAAACCTCTGATACTTCTCAAACATTTTCCGAAAGGAAAATGAAAACCCTGTGAGAAAGAGAATTTAGAGAATTTAGTAACCAGTTTCTGGGCAGCCAGATTGATGCTAGAGATATGGCATGACTGTTTATCAGCTGGGAGAAGTGAATTAAGGAAATGAGGTTTCAACAGGGACCTGATGAAAATCCTTGCTAATAACCTCTGCCACCACCGTCAGGAAATCAGAGTTTGCATGTAAAATATCTCACCATCCTTTGTATGCTGTACTTCATTGTCACAATTAGCACTTCAGCTGATCAAGTGAAAAACTTTCTTGTGCTGATCTTAAATCCTACTCTACTTATAGAACCTGGAAAAATAAATAGAAAGGCCTTTGAGGAACAGCAAACAGTTCTAAAGGGGCAACACAATTCTTTGAAACATAAACTTTTCTTGGACTTTAAGGAAAAACAACATTAATTTCTACATTTCTTCTTCCAATTATAAAATTTAATTTTTTTCTGGAAACTACACAATTGCTGCAAAAGGAATTAGTGGATGTAAGGGGTTATTAAACATGGCATTCACCCACTGCTCTTACACAGAAAAGGCAGCTCTGAAGAAACCAAAGCTGATTAATATGAAAGGCAGCTAACCTAAAAACTAAACTGAATGGTGTGTGCTAATCTTTCTCAAATACACTTATGAAAGCTAAATTTGCTGGTATTTGCCACTGCTATGCAGGCTAAGTGTTCATGTGAATGATATCTCCACAGTTCTGAGCAAACCAGTAAAAAATAGAGAGTTTTGTCCTCACTGGTAATTTTCTCAATCTCCTGTTCATCCACAGCTGCCTGAATAGTGAACACTTCACAATTCAGTGTCATTTGTGATAAACTTTGTTCAAAAGCTGCCATTCATTACTGGTAATTTCCTTAATCCTCAAGTCTCTTATAAGGAAAAGATAGAAATTCTGTGTTATATATTTGCTCTACAGGGTCTACAAAAAAAAAAAAAATCAACATGTTAGCCACATTAATAAAATACTCACCAGATCAAACTCTTAATAGCCAGCCTTAGACTCTCCATTGTTTAGTGATGTTTGTTTGCCAGCCTATCTGGAGACACAGGGAAAATCTTAATAGCTCTGGCCACTCATTAGCAAAGTACCGTGGAGTCCTAATCCCATAAAGATATTAAACTATTTTTCCTTACAATAGCAACAAATGGAGGGAACTCTCATTACTTATTAAGATGTGGTACATTCTTTGCATATTGAGTTTCTTCTTATACTTTGAACTCTTATCCCCCATCACTCTGTTTCTGAGGCTGAGATCAAAGTAGGTCGGCCTTACAGAGCCGCAGATGAGTGGCCGCCTTTCAGAGAATATTAATGCCCTCCTGAAGGGCCCAGCTGGGGAGGAGGTGGATTCCCCTGATGGGAGAGCCCTGCCAGCCCAGCCACACCAGGCCACCATCACTGGGGACACAGCACTGCCCTGCTGAGGGGAGCTGCTCACCCCAGTTTAACTGCGTGGCCTCAGTCTCAATACTGAGCCCAGGCCTCTTTTGGAACCAGAGAACTGTGTAAATCTGAATTCTGGCAGACTGGCACTGAGCAATTTGTTTTATAGCAGGAAAATATGTGATCAATTTTGTGTTTTGCATTGAAAAAAAATTCTGGTCTTTCTGGTTCCCACTTCTGACTTCTCCAGTTTTAGTTTTTACTTCTCTCTACCTCAGCTACTCAAGGACTGGTGTTATCAGTGAACTCATGGGCAGCTGGCAAGACAGTGTCCCCTTCCAATCTTCCACTTCCAGCAGGGATTCTGCCATACAGGGTTTCTTTCTTGCCTTCAAATTTGCTTGCAAGACTTTTAAAGGGGAATTACTTTCAAGCTTGTTAAAGGTAAGAGTAAACATGCTAAGTACTGAGACATTCAGTGGGTATCGGAAAAGAAGAAATGTTATATTCATTACAGAGGAAAATCTAGTAATAAAAAGTATTACCTGCATTTATAGCCCTTGTAACCTAATTTTTGTGACAAAGCAAAGAAGTAAAAACATTCCTTTCTGCCTTTCAGTGACCCCTATAAGAAACCCCCCATGGAGTCATTTAGGATAGTAATTTGAGTGAAAATATATGCAGCCTTTACTTTACTTGCTCTTCTTAAATTAATAACCCTTACTGATAATTAATCTAAAAGTTTCTAAAGGTATTTGCAAAAATGCCCTCAAATTAGTAAGCACTTAAAAGAAATAAAAACTTAAAAGACATTATCCACAACATAAAAGAGTAACAGAACATGGAGCTGCGTTGTTCAAATGTTAAAACTGTACATAAAATACTCCTTCAATATACACTGCCAGTAAAAACCAAAGCAAAGCAGGTCATTAAAATGTCAGACTTGGGGCAGAGTGGAAAAAATGCTGTGTTTAAAAGAAACACGTAGACCTTTTATAATTATTTCTCCTTAAAGTTAACTGTAAAAAAAAAAAAAAAAAACAAAAAACAAAAAACCAAACCAATAACAACTGAACCAAAACAAACTAAAATTAACCCCCAAATAAACAACTGCAGCAGCATCAGGATAGAGTCAACTCTAATCTTAGTCTCGTTCCTAAGCAAACCCAAGGACACTTTTTGTGTCATTCTGCAGCTGATGTCAGTTTTGTTTGTGAAATGTCTCTTTCCTTTATCTGCTTTTTCTAAAGCAAAAGCAGAGTGGTGAGTTCAAGCCACTGATGTCCATGTCATGAGTCTGCTACAGCTGAGTACCAGTAACAGGCAGGAGCAGCAGAAACCTTGGGAGCCCCATGAGCACCTGGAGAATCCTTGGGAAGAAGCTGAGGTTCCATGCACAGCCCTGTGCTCACTGATGGACTTTCACACTCACTGTTGTGGTGATGTTGAGTCTCATGCAGGATTTTAGCACTCTGTAAAGAGCTCAGAGTAGAAAACCTCAATCCCTTCTCCTCATGTGAACTAAAACTGCCCACTGAAACTGGCAAAAGATTGTCAGGATAAAGGGGATGCTGTGGTGGGTACTGGGCAGCTGGAAGGCACGTGAATGACACTTATTTGAATTAACCTTTTCTGCAGTCCAGTGCAGATGAACCAAGAGAATAAAAGAAAAGACAAAGTCTGTCTCTTCAGACATTAACTATGTTGCAGTACTGAAAATAAAATGTTGTATTTTAGTGTCACTTTTTCTACTCCCAAGATTTTTAAGCCAGTACAATGACCAATGTCCTTCTGACTCTTCAGGGCTGAAGGTTTCAGTTTCCCTTCTACTGGAAAAAAGTGCATCATGGCCCCAGAGAAAAAAAAATAATCCATCTCATTAATTTTGTATATTTTCAGCAAAGTGTCTGCATATGAAGTCAGTACATAATCTTCACTGAGCTGAGTTCCTAAACTGTGACTAAAAGGTGGCAGTGCCCTAGGAACAGCTCTGTCCAGCAGGTACAATTCCATATTAACTGGGCTAGTGTATATCTGAACAACACCACTGATGCACACAGCTATTCCAGATTAATTCTGGTTTCACTAAAGTAATTGGCTCATAAAGCAGAGATAAATTTAATGATTTAAATTTAAAATTAAAAAAAAAAGTCTGGGACTCCCACTGAAGTCCATGCAGGAACACAGGTAACTTATTTTGTCCTTTAACATCTCTGTAGCTCTGTTCCCTAAAGCTAACAAACACCACTGCTGAAAGTACAGGTTGTCACATTTACAATCAGCAATTAAAACCAACATTCTTCTGGTTTCCATCTGATAAGAGCAGTGCTCAAAGTGGAGAGACAATGGAGAAACACATAATAGCACCAACAAATTCAACTTGTGTTTAACTACTCCTTTTTCTTCAAATCACCTTCTGCAATGCAAATATTTGTAAGTTGGGAAAAAAGCCTGTAATCATGTTTGACACATGTTAGACTCAAAATACAAAGTCCATGGGAGAATTTTAACTAACCTTCATACTTATGAAGATTTTGTTTCTACTTTCTGGCATTTTATGTATTATGATCAAATATACCAGGAGGAGACACAGTGGGCAAAGTTTTAAACTGGTATAATTGACTCAGAAGGAAAACAAGGACATCCTCAGGCAGCTGTGGTCCCATGATGTTTACAACAGGTCTGCTATGCCCAATATTCCTCACTAGGTATGATCACTAATTCTTAGTCATAGGCTTCCAGTGGCAATGAAAACAGCAAAAGCATACTGTATATGTATTTTTGACAGCTCTATGATTTTCCTGCTATGATTAAAATTATGAGTAATACTTTAAAAGGATTAAAATTAGATGTTGGAAAGTTGGTTTCTAGCCACACATAAAGCCTTCAAGCAAAAAGTCAAAATTTCATAAATTTTGAATCATCAGGGTGACTTTAGAGCACTTCAATACTTCCTAAAATTTCATCAAATTATTTTGATCCTGAACCAGGAGCCTAAAGCCAGGCTGGAAGCACCATGGAACCCCTGGCTTGTGACCTATGGCTTTGATGAAGACAGCACACCATGACCCTGGAGGGCTGGTACTTAGTTATAATGATAGGTTTGAACACTATTTCCTTTCCTATTGTCTGCAAGTATTCAGGATGATAATCCCAGTTTAAACAGATTTTCTAGCCTCATGACAACTCTGGAAGTTCTAATTTCCTTAAAGATACGCAAAAATGTTAATTTTACCTGTAATCTTTATGCAAAATCAACCACTATCAACAGTGGGGATTCTAGAGCTTGGAAAGAGGGTTCATTTTATATTCTTCAACCTAGATAAAAAAGAATGAAATAACTTTCTCTGAAAATATTAGCTTGCTTGCAGTTATTGTGAGGATGTCAGAAGCTTGTTCTTCACTGATTTATTATTTAACTACTGTTACTGTCTTCCTGGCCACAGGCTAAAACAGTGGCCAGTTCTCCATTACCAAACTGCCAAAAAAAAATGCAGTTTGAAAGTGCACATTAAATATTTCAAATGTTTTCCTCAAAAAGCCTTATCATAGATCTTCTGAAATCATGTGCCATATTCCAATAAAATTCCTTAAAAAAGGTGATTTTTCATGAGCTTTTGCCATTGATTGCTCAGGAGTTTAAAGAAACTGGTATTTACAGAGCACAGGCTCAATTGTCACCTAAATGCAGGCAATCTGCATTGAGCCATCATTTCTCCACACACCTCAGTTCTAGATATTGAGCAGGAAAGATAAACCCCCACAAATCCCACCTACACACATATTAAGAGCACATCATACACATTAAATAACACCCGCCCTCCACAAACAGCCTTCCTTCAGGGTCCCAGTCTCCTGTAATTCAGCCTGAGTGTGAACTAGAACAAATCATGGCCATCAAGTTACTTTGATGTTCTTATAATATCAGAGGTTTTTTTAGAGAGCTAATCAGCAAAGTCTCTTGGATTCCTTCTCCTGAAACTTCCACTTGCCAGAGGTCCTTATTCTCATTCTCTATTCTGGTCAACTCTGAAAATTGTAGGCCTATTTTTTTAAATTGATGGCTTGCCTTTTGCTCCAACTAGCATTTCTCCTCATGCAAAGGATTACATCTACCTTGCCTGCAGGTATTGCTCCCTCAGTGCTGCTCACTGTGCTGAAGAACACATTCCTATGGCAATGTGGTCAATTCAAACCACAGGCTATTTCAGTTTAAAAAATGAAACAAAAAGCCAAAAACTGAAACAAAAGGAGGGGAAAAAAGAAGGTGACTAAGTATCAGCTATTGGATCAGAGACGGGGCAGGGAAAGCTGCAGCATGAGAAGGCAATGCAAGGCCAAGGCACCTGTGCTCAGTGCCCTTGGCGCCCAGCAGAGCCTGTCTGCCCAGAGCCACCTGTAACCTGTGTGATTTCCCTCCATTGCAGAAAGGGATAGATTAGGAATAGTTCAAATGAACTGGTCAGCCAGTAGAACTGGAGGAATTACAAGCTTCTACCAAAGGATGGTGATAAAACATTTTCAATTAGAACAGCTGCTTCCAGATGTAATGTTTGGCATTAGGAAAAGATTACTTGAGCCAACACAGGCTACCTGCTGGATTTTAGAAAACGTGCACATGCTCATTTGTGCCAGAGGACATAGTGTATTATATCCCTACAATGAGTTGTTCATCTTTAACTGGCACAGTTATACC